ATTTAACTAAAGTGCGCAGCACAGCAGAGAATGAAATGTCCAGGGGGGCAAGGGGCAAAACGGTGGGAGTTGTCAAGGCGATTTAATAGCGTGCAATTCTAAGAAACGCATGTCCCATGTCCCAAGTCCCAGCTCACAACTCACAACTCGCAGTTCGCAGTTCACAGTTCACAGTTCCCATCTGCCGTGTCCTTCGTTTCCAGCCATTGTCAGGCCGGGCACGCCATTGCCATTTCTGAATGTCCTCAGTGTATTTATGTGTGTGTGTGTGTGTGTCCTGCGATGGTGTCCTGTTGTGCGTGTGTGAATCAACAGGCCACGCGCGACACCATAAAACCGAAACAGAAAACGGAGGAGTATATGTATCTGCCGGATACAAAGGCCAACGAAGTGGGGTATCCAATGGGTAAAAACAAGCGAACGAAACTTCGCACATAATGAGTTTTTATGGCCTGTTTGCGAGCTGGGTAGCATGAGGAGAGCGAAAAGAACCCGCCCTTCATATAGCCTTCAGTTGTCCTGTGCCTTGGGCCCGGGGACCCCAGTTTCCAGCTTCCATCATCATCATCATCATCAGCGCCATCATGACCGTTCCCTAATTGCGAATGCACTCGCTCCCGTTGACAAAACAGTTCTTTCGGCATTTTTTGTTCTGCGGGAACAACACACAAATCAGCGTAAAATTTGTCTACGGGCAAAGTTTTATGGAGCTGTAACTGCGACAAAGTGTGCTGCAATCGGGAACTACGGAAGCTGTTCCTTTTGAAGAAAAAACCCAGGGAGCTAAGAGGACGGTTTACTGGGTAATAAACAGTGCAAAATACCAGGACAATGTTACAGATGCACTGCGAAATCACTATTCCGACAGATGCCATCTGCGCACTGAGGGAAAATTTTGAAACTAAGCAGCATTTACTTTATATGAAGATGGTAATATTAAAAAGTCAGCGGGAAATCGTTTAATTATAAGGTCCGATAAAAGCTTATCATGTTGAGGATGGATAACATTTGGGTTTTTCCCATTAATAAATGCTACTTTGGTATATAAAATTAAATAAACAATATTTTTTGAATACGCTTCACATATAGAGAACTTGGTATTAACCTGTTCACCACATTTACGGGAATTTAGACTGATTTTTGGAGAAGCCGAAATGTTCAGAAACTGAAACTGAAACCGTTAGAATCTTTGAATGACACACTGTTTTGTATAACATGGTAGTTTAGGAATATGAAAAATGCTTTTAAGATTGTAGTGAAAGAAACGATTAATAGTATTATTTTTAGTGCTAAATTTCTCAAGAACTTAAAAATCCAATATTTGTTTTTGTGCTATTTCTTTCCTCTCAGTGCTTCGAATTAAAGGAAAACTGCTGGAATCTTTCATGGAAGTGTTTGGATCATGATTACGACGCAACCGAAAACCGAGTGGATAAACTGCGGATTCACCTGGCTCAGATGGCCAGTTTATAACCTTCTCCGCTGGAAAATTCAAGATTCCCGTGTATTCAATTTCACTTGAAAGTCGAATATGGAAGTGGGGATGGAGGTGTGAGAAGTGAGAAGTGAGAAGTGGGGGCGTTTTGCAGTGGGCGTTGCTGATGTGGAGCAACTGCTCATTAGCGTGGCTCACACGAAGCTATTAATTCAATTATTTACACTGTTTCTGGCAGCTGACAAGCCCCGCACCCATTTTCATCGACCATCTCGTGTCTTGTTCCGGGAAACTGTTGCTCGTCGCCCGAGGAAATTACCCAGACCCAAAATCCCCAGGGGGAATGGGTTTGGTTTGGGGATGGTGAATGGGGGTATGGGTATGAGAATGGGGCTGTGGACTTAATTATGCACATTAAGCTGAGTGTAATTTGCGTTGCGAAAGGCAGCCATGGCCGAAATCGATTCGAAACTGCAATGCAGTTGGTCCCCGAGAAGCTGCAATTTAGGTGAGAATAATATGCGATTTATGCAACACCAAAATGAGGGCGGAGCAAGGGGCGTGGCCGGCATGGGTGAGCATTTCATTAGCTGCGCATTTACATTTCATTGCACCCAATTTGTGCTGTCGCGTCAACAGTTGCCAGTCGCCTCGTCCCCGGAATCCACCCAATCCCATTCCCAATCCCAATCCCTCGAATGAATCCCCTGGAATGTGTGCGTGCGTGTAATTTAATTCGACGGTCGTGCCATAAAAATGAAATGCACAACGTGATGTGCAAGGACAAACAGTCAGTTTTAGCTGGTTTGTGTCCAAAGGTCCACGCATGTTGCCAATAACTTTATCTACTCCGCACATGTAAATGCTGATGCGAAACGTCGGCGGACTTGGGAAATCGGGTTAATAGTTGAGGCCTGGCCGAAAAGCTAATCAAAGGCAAGGACACTCGGAGTCGTTTCCTTTTTCTTGTATCGGCCCCTTAAAAGGGAGTGTTTTTGGAAGCTACTGGCTCAAATTCTGTTGCCGTGGCTAAAAATAGATACACAGGCTTTTTGTTCAAGGACGTTCTCTTTGTTGTTATGCAAATATATCATTGAGTGTCGCGATTTGAAAAGTTCCTTGTTAAGAGAGGCATAATTAAGGGTTCGGGTTCTAAGACTTGTAAATAATTTAGATTTAAATGCTTAGAAAATAAGAGAAGAAAGAGGTTTCGTTTACAGGGGGGACTTCATACACTTTAGTGTAATACCACTGGTTTCAAATGTATATTAGATATACAGAGAGACAAAATAATAAGATACAATGATTTCATTTTAAATTCTACTTAGATACAGAGCGTTTCACAATAATATGTTCGCCATCTTACTTTTTGCTCTCTTTTTTAGAGTTAAATTATGTTTCGAAAACTGATGTCTTGCTCTTACCCAGAGTTATTTTAGATTTTATTTCGCTCTTTTCTCTTTTTGACGTTTTAAAAATGATACTTAATAAATTTACCATGCGAATATGAAATTAACCCATATCTGTCTTTCAGTGTATAGTTTGACATTTAAATTTAATAACATTTAAATATACTTCACAAACTGTTCTCTTTGAGGTGTGAATAGGCCACAAACTTATATGCATGAAGACCAGTCATGAAAAACTTAGAGAAACATGACTAAACGTTTAAAAATAAGAAAATCTTCAAATATAAATCTCCGTGGGTAATGAACTTTTGCTTTTTACGTTTAGGATTTTCTGGACATCCACTAAGAGTTTTTTCTTGTTTCCATGGAAGTCACAACGTTGTCCTTGACAAATCCTTGGCAAAACGAGACAGCTGAGTACTTCCACCAGCCACCAGCATTTTGCCAGGACTCAGCAGGAGTTGCAGCTGCTGCTGCTGTTGCTGTTAATTATCCTGCCGTCGTGCTTATTACCTTAATGTCGGGTTGCGAATCGCGTTGAGTGCGCCACAAGCAGGCTGCAATTGCCAGGACAATGCCATCCGAACGATACGGATACGAAATGGACGGCCACCGGACGACGGCTACGTGCCACGAATGGCGGCCACAGAACCCACGGCTCTTATCCTCCTGTAATTGCCAGCCGGCAAATGGCCAATGTCATTTCTGAGGTCCACCTCCCTACTCCTCCTACTATTCCACCTCCTCATCCTACCACCAAGGAAAGCTAATTAAAGTGCACGCAAATTTGAATTATCCACTGACTTTGTCGACGCCATAATCATGAATGTGCAACGAAGCAAATGGTGTGAAATCGAGAGATAACTCCAATCGATTCCGTGGCATTGCGTATACGCAATGTGGTAATTTACGCAGTTAATCCTAGAAGATAAAGGCAAGTAATCCCATTGAGGGCACGCATGACCTGGGGAGTCTTTCGTCTAAGCTCTTTAGAAGTTTAATCGAGCAAGACGCGAACTTACAGGATGTTCAAGTAGAGCCCTCCAGGCTTTTGATATTTAATATTAAACTATGGGAAGCAATAAAATAGAGTATAGAAGATGATTGGGTATTGCAAGGATCAAGTTTGGTTTAGAGGAACTTAGAGGTACAAAGTATGTAAGAAGACAAAACTCCCTGAACTATTTAACTTAGTTAGTATAAGTTTCATGACTAAGTAAGGCACCAAAATCTAATGTGAAGAAGTTTACAGAGTTTAAGGAAATATGTTCATATTAAATTATGTTCAAAGAAACTTTATAAAAAGTTGGTAGGGTTCTGGAACTTTATCCAAAGTTGGTTACATAAAAAATACTATCTACTATTTTGCCTTCTTAAAAGTTTACTAAATATATGACTAAATAAATAGTAAAAACTACTAACCATTTATAACTGCAAAGTCTGATTTAACTAACTGTCTTATCAGTCTTTTTATAGACATACTTTAACATGATTGACTTTCTCTAAAACCCTTAAATTGTAAGAATGTTGAAAAGGGTCTTGAAATAACTACAATTTACAAGATGACCCCTTTCCACTGCCAAAAGCCCCGAATTTTTGTTTGGTCTCTAGCGAATCAAGACTTCACATTTTTCCTACTTGCTACTTGAGTTTATATTCATTACCAAACCCTTTTCTTTCAGCAAGTTTTGCTTGGGTTTCGCCTCTTTAAGGACTGGAACCCCTTCTACCCCCCTTCCGGCTGCTTATTTATTTGTTTTCATTTTCATTTTCCCGGCTGGCTGCCAGGCAGTAAGCTTTGAAATACCAAACGCAGGCAAATCCGAAGCCAAATCCACAGTCAAGGGTTTCCTCTGGTCTGGTTGAGCATAAGTTGACGACGTGCCTGCCGCAGGAATCCCTATCTCCAGCCCATTTTTGAATTTTCTGGTGGCTCGACTATTTTTAGTGCCACTGATTTGTTTTGCCTAGTATTCGAGACCCTCCGTCGACACTTGTGGTTTTGGCTTGGCACTAGCAACGGGCCAAAACGGAAGAGGAAAAAGAATACCAATCCGAACCGCCCATGGCTCTGAAACCGAAACCCGAAAGCCATATGCGGTTTTTGTTTTTGCGCCAGGACTCAGGATTAAGACGTCTGGGGGGTATGGACTTACCTTGACGAAATGGTAGAAGAGCACGGCTCCCACGGTGGCCAGGGCGAACCAGACGAAGACGGCGAAGGTCGAGATGCTGGACATGTCCAGGGCGTGGAGCAGGTGAGAGGTCACGATGGCAGCAGCCTGGCAGAATAGGAAGGGCATGAACAGCCGCTCGAAGATGTCCCAGGGTATCTCATGCGATTTCTGGGGCAGGGCCGAGATCGAACCTCGTCGCAAGGAGGCACGACGCGAGGCACGGCGCTAATGAATAGAAGATATAGCCACACATTTAGTCATTTCTAGTATATATCCCGATTTAATTATTCATTTCACTGAATTAACATTTCAGTTTCGATGTATAAATAGCCACACAGAAGAATAGCTGGACGAGATGTTTGTTTGGCAAATATTTAAACAATTGCGGACAGCCTGTTTGTTTGTGTTTTGATCGATAAACAAGGCGAATATGCAAATTATTGCACACACTTATTGTTTTTTTTTCAGGGGAGAAATGAGAAATAAAATAAAATCAAAGATGTGTATGCCATAGAATGCTTTTCTGGGATCGAATATTTATGTATCTAATTTTTCTACACATTTCATTCTTATTTAATAAAGTTTAGTAAATCCACTCAAGTTAGCTATTTTCTTTGCTAGAAACTAATTCCTAAAATCTTTAAGATATTTATGAAAATCTTGTATTTATCTATTTAAAATTTTTACACATTTCATTCTTTTTTAATAAAGTTTAACAAATCCACTCAAGTCCACTCCTATAATCTCAAAAATATTTAAATATTTTATTTATCTATTTAAAATTTCCACATATTTCCATTTAATTTAATAAAGTCTAATAAATACAATTTAAGTATTCCCTTTGCTAGAAACGTAACCCAAAAAACTCAAAGATATTCTGATGCCAAGCAACCAAGTTTGATGAAAATCTTTAATTTATCTATCTCAATTTCCTACATATTTCATTTTTATTTAATAAAGTTTAGTAAGTCCACTCAAGTTAACTATTTGCTTTGCCAGAAATGAATTCCTAAAATCTCAGATACATACGCATGCCAATCAACAAAATTTGATGAAAATCTTTTACGATATGGAATTCGTTTAATTTATTGACTCAAGACTTCCGTGTATTTAACATTTTTCGGACGGTTCCCTTTGAAATCGATAATGTTTCGACTGGATGGCTCTGCTCAGTGTTCCCCTTGAATGGCTGATGAAATGGACAGGCACATATTTGCCAACAATACATCATCGAGTATTTCATTAGAGCTAACCAATTGCAACCACAGGATCTGGACGGCCACAAGCACTTACATATGCTTGCATTTATCAGGCCCTAACCCACACACATTGACATTGACGTATAGCAATTACACATGACGTGCACAATACTCTCGAAAAATGAGGGAAAGCGTGTGGGAAATGGGTGGAAATGGTGGGTGGAAATAGTATGGAAAGTGGCCTTCTCAGCCCCAAACCGCCCCTTTTGGCCATTGGCCATAAATCAACGACAGTGCGAAATAATCAAATGGTGGCATCTGCATAAATACAGAAGCCAATTGATTTATTCGGCCTGAAAACAAACCAATTCCATTTCGGTTACTTGGACTCTTTTCTGTTTTTCCCCTTGCCGGTATTGTAAAATCGCCGGAACTATTTATACCACCTCGTGTGGGAAATCAACGATGTCATTTCGTATTGCTTTCGTCATATGGTGACCTTGCCACCAATTCTGGGATTTAGTTAGTAGTATCTATGTGACTAATGTAAGTGCCTTACATATGCTCGAAATACGCCCGCGATAATTTCGAATTCCCATCTATATCTCCACATATATGCACTTGCCGGTTCAAATATATTTATGCGAACGCGCCCGAAGATTTATGTACTTAATGGGGTCGCTCAGCTGCCAAGAAATCAGTATCCGGCGAATACTTATTGGTCTCTATTCGGTTTGTCTCCAAGCTTATTTTTATTATTAATAAAGATATGGATATGTATTTTTAGAGGATGCGAACGAATCAAATGGAATGGAAAATTCTGGCATTGCAAAAACATTTGCCCTGGCCAAAGATAAAGATGTATTTCAGTTTTGGGAAAAGAAACAAAAAAAACAATCCACTTTTGTGGCTCTCTGGAATGTCCATAATAGTCTGCCTCAATGTCAGGATTTTTATTCTAGAAATTGGACCATTATTCTCAGGCATACTAAAACAATTTAAGTTGCACTTTATGGCAGGCAGACATGGTAGCATTTCCGACATGTCTCTTACGGAACACTTAAGTTTTCATTTTGCAAATTTCTAGTGGCTCATACGTGCATTGACCCACTTGGATCGTGGCCATTAAGTGAATTTTTGTAATTAATTTGGCGGCCCATCCTGAGCACCGCATGACTTCCTGGCTGTCTACCCATCTTATAACCTATACCATCTAACAAAATACCAAGACCCTTTTCTGCGGCCAAAATGGGCGTGTGGAACTGGAACTGGAATGTATGTGTATTGGCATTTCTGGGTTAAGCTAACTGGGCTAAGTGTGGCTAGGTATACACAGCGCGGCGGCCATAAATTTGGCTTGGGTAAACACGGGCACACAAATGGCTTTTTGGCCGGAGGGTAGATTTCACTTACCATATTGTTATCGAAGACCTGCATGACGGATGCTGCTGGTTGCGGTGGGTTTATTTTCTTGAAAAAGGATTCCAAAAAGTATTCCTAGCACGGCACTCACTTTCCCAGTTCCGGTAAATCTGGTACGACTAGTACTTGTTATAATCGAATATTTCTGTTTTTCGAACCGATACGATTTTTAGGGGTACGAGTTTCGGGGCCCGTGGCCTGGGCGCTCTGAGACACGACGTGGCACTAAGCGGTACGATCGAGTACCGCCGCAAAAGTTCGCTCGCCGATCGCTGCCGACGTCGCTGTCGACGGTCTGCCTCTGTTGTATTTCAAAATCGCTGCAGCGAATATGTCGTTTTGAAAATTTTTTAAAAATATATCTGAAGTATGTGCAGACATGCGTGTGCGAGATACATATTCGGCTACTCAGATAAATAAATATATTTAAATTTGTTGCTTTTGGCGGCGCCGCAGCATCGATGATTATTTTTTCCACAGATACAGATTCTCATTCTCTGAGTTCTGTTGGTAAAATTTATTTTTTTTTTTGGGTTCATTTGAATATTGCTTTAAAACGGCCCTACTTTAAATACACAGTTTATGCGCATAAATATGTATGGCAGAAATGGCGCATTTTTAACCCCGCGGCTTGATTTTGAATTTGTTTTTCTGTATTTTTTTGCGGGCTGTCCCACTGTGACGTCACTTTCGTTGTTTACATGCCCGTTATTGTTAATTTGCAAATTGCATTTTTAGTTTTTTATTAAAAACGCCCAGATCTGGCTGCATTTCGTTAGCCGATGTTGGGAAAATTGGAAAATTGCATAAATAAACAATGGGCCAGGGAAAATGCGGGGCCATGTGTGGGCAGCTGTGGCAAAAAATCATTCAACTTTAGCCGCAAGCAATGGCGAAATAAAATGAAATAAATGACTATTTGCAATCTCGCTCAGACAAACGAACAAAAAGATGCAAATAAAAGAGTGTTGCACTGATGTTTACGTTCCAAAATAAAAATGTAAATGATTCCAATTAAAAATACAAAATTACATAACGAGTATTTGCTTGGGCTTAAATTGGATCAGCTAAATATCCTTATGCGGGTTTAATAAAGAGAGAAATGTAAAAAGAAATAATTATAATTGTAATGCACTGCATGCTACTTTTTAATATAGGTTGTATTTTTCGGTGAGACCAATGTTATCTCAGATAAAATTAAATTGTATTTTATTTTATAATACACGCATGTTGGAATAAAAACCTATTCAATATTTGCAATACTTACAATACAATAAGACCCATAAAGGATATCAGAAAGTCAACAAAAATTAAAATTATATGCTCGTTTAAATTATTTGCTTTAAATACCCTCTTTTTTTATGTTTCCATTTTATTGTTTATGCATGTTTGTGTCCAACAATATATTATTGTTATGCATAGAATTTGTTGAGTAGCTGTTCAGCATGAATATAGACAGTGCCATAAATTGACGTCTATATTGGAGCTCTGCGGACATGGTGGGTACATATACGTCCGAATCTATATATAAGCACAAGAATAAAAAAAAATATTTACCGCCGGAGCCAATGGAAGCAATTTTGGTTGTGCATCTATTCGATTCGGTTCTTTTATTCCTATTTTTCAAATGCGGCTGCGTTGTCAGTCAATGTAGCCAAATTAACAACCGAATGCACGGTTTTTTTATGTGCGTGTCCCCAAAAGTTGTTGGCTCTCTCAGATTGTCATGCATTTTAAAAATAGGCAAAGTAAAAATATTCTGGACAGCGCTGCGCACTTTAAAAACACGAAATAAGATTTATGGTTCGCAGTACCCTTGCCAGAAGATCATAAAAACACCAAAAAGCAATCCATCAAAACAATTATGAATTAAAGGATTGTCAATATTCGGAACACAATTGGCTTTGAAAATAGAAAATAACATTTTGGGATTATTAGAAGTACATATGCTTCAATATTCTAAACATTTGCTGGATCTTTGTAAGGAATAATGCCGCCCAAGGGTCGGGGTAATAAAATTAAAGGATTGTAAATTGAAATACAACAAAATAAATATTTGGAATATTGGAAATACATATATTTCAAAATTCTAAACACTTTCTAGATCTTAGTAATGAATAAAGGCCGCCCTAGGGTCCGGGCGGACTTTTAATATTCGGAACACCATTGGCTTTGGAGATATAACAAAATTAATATTTGGAATATTGGAAACACATATGTTTCAAAATTCTAAACATTTTCTGGATCTTAGTATAGAAAAATGGCGCCAAATCAATACTCGGAACACAATTGGCTTTGTAAATACAACAAAAAAATATTTGGCATATTGGAAATACATATACTTCAAAATTTTAAACAGCTTAATCTTAGTAAGCAAAAATGCCCCCCAAAGGTCCCGGTAAGAAGAAGAAGGACGTGGACTGGGCCGACGATGAGCACTTTTCCAAGGAGCGTTCGATGATCTACATAGAGCACACCTACGAGTGCCCCATTTTTCAGACCAAGGCCGACGAGTGTGGAGCGTTCCTACAGCAGCGGATTCCTGAGCGGAAGTTCCAGTTGGTGAAGAACAAGTATGGACGCCAGGTGCCCCGGGAAGGGGCCTTCGAGATAGGCTTCTCGCAGAATGCCCGCACCTCCGTGCACCTTTTGTGGTCTGGCCTGGACAAAGGACCTCCACGGCGGGACAAGTTCCCCATGGACTACGAGACACTCGTTCCCGATGTCAACAGGATCCTTAAGAAATTCTATCCCGACAAGGCGGTGGGCGTGCTCGAAGAAGATGAGGACGAACAGAGGGAAGATGACATGTAAACATATTATATTTTTACTCTAAATTATAAAGTGTTTACCATAACAATGGCTAATATAAGGCGTGAAAAGTAAACAATCCAAACCAGAGACCTGTTGGAGCAACTTTAAGACGTCATCCACCCACACGGGTGGAAATGCTCAGCGATTAGTGCTTTTGTGTTCGGAATATTGCTATCATTGTTGTTGCCCCCCGCCAACTGACGTCCTGACATCACAATTTGACAGCTCTTTTCAAAAGTTAAATGCTTAAATCGACCAGAATAATTAACCAAACACAATACAATACATCGCACATCAGCAGTCACACGATATATTCAGCATGCCCCAGGGACATTAGCGACGTCCCATTGTCTGCCAGAGAAATCAGGGCGACGGAATTGGGGGATGTGCTGTGGAGATACTATCTCGTTCACTCGGTGTTGACACAACAAATGCCCGAAACACAATTTCAATGCACACAATAAAAAAAGAATAGTCTAAACAATTTAAATTGAGAGCTGCAGTTGAAACAATAGATGCAGCGGGTGGATAGGTAAGTCATTTTCTAAATACCCTTCTACATAATTTTTTAACCAGCGGTTAGCAGCCTCCCTTCTCTGCCACCATACGTACAGTGTACAACAGCGGTTGGCACCCACACAGCTTTAAGCATTCCCATGCAAATCTTTTAAATTTAAAAACCCTCTTGATTTTTGCATGAATTGTTTTAATCTGTTTGATTGGTCCTAAGGCAACTGAGTTCAGAAATCCCTTGCTATTATAGCCATTTCTTTACCGGATTTTTATTTAAATAAAAAAAACGGACTGTTTGTGATCTGCAAAAGACTTGACATACATGTACACTCTTGGCTAAAATACAGAAAATATATATTTTCTCTTGTTATTTTGTTACTTTAATCAAACCCTTTCAAAGCCAGAGTAATGCCCCAAAAAAAGAGCACCAAAGTACACATCCATTGCGGACGTATTTGAAAATTGCAATGTGGCAGCAGCACAATGGGCAGCAAGCTAGGGAAGTGCCTGGAAATAAATAAATTGGGAAAAACCAAAATAACATCGACTGAGGGCAGCAGCACTGAAGGGGGGGGGGGGGGGGGGGGGGGGAAAGCCAACAAGTCGTGAAAATCCAAACCAAATTACATTGTGGGCCAACAGCAATGACAATAACAAATATGGCATGGGTATCCCTCCAGCTGGCCCTTGGGGCTAATACTATTCCAGCACTAAAACAACCAGAGAAGTTGCAGCGAAAACAAGAGGATTTGGTATCCACCAGATGATTATGTGTGTGCAAATGCGAAACTATGGCTCTGGCCAGAGTTTTCCCTACACCAGAGTCCCTAGTCCAGATCAACATGCAAATTAGTCTTGGTTGCAGATGGTTTTTTGATTGACTGTTATCGTGGCTGACTTCCAGCCATGTTTTTGACCGAGTAGTGCCGAGGGCTAATTTGAATATTACGCATACGTCATGTTCAGCCAAAAACTACAGGGAGCTTTTTGGCTTGACCGCAGACAAAGGCGCAAGTGAAAGAGCCAACTTTCGGAATATTTAGCAACATCCGTGGCCCAGCACATCATTAATATTAATATAAAGGCTTTTAAAAAAATGGCGGGCTGGCAGCGGCCAAAAATAACAATAAAAAGAGAATGTAAATTTTTCCGCGACATTCCCAATGATTTCAACAGATTTTATGCGACCGGGACAAAGAGATGTCAGCGTAGCACATTTTCGTGTAGCCAGCGTCTGGGGAAATGGGTTAATGTCCAGCCCGGAGAAAGGCCATGGATATGGATAGGGATAGCTCCTGCTCCGGAGGTGGAACTGCCTGCATGTGTCACCCATCACTGGGATATCGAAGGGGAAACCACACGCCAAGGACAAGCCAGGACGATTGCCAAGAGCCCAGAGAGGAGCTTTAATGGAAACAGACCGCAACATTTTGCATTAGAGTGTGCTAGAACCGCCGAATCCCGGCCAAAAGTGGAGCGGGAGTGGGTGTTGGCCCGTTGGCCCGCTGGCCAAAACCCGTTTGGCAACCGGGTCTGATTGTGATGTAAAAATAATCTACGCAGGCAAATGCCAGGCGAAGTGCTGCTGCAAACAAACTGAATTGTTGTGTTATTTTTGAATTGCAATCCCCTAGGGCTGGGGAGTTCCAGCTTCTCCGGTTGTTTCCGGTTGGTGGTTCTCTAACTTGAGTCCGATTCAGGGCACGTTCGGTATCGTATCTATTGCTCTATCTATCCAATATACAATATAGTACAATGTACAATCTGTAATATCACATATCCCCCATCCATTCGAGGGGGTGCAACAAATTGCAGTTGGTTTTAAGGGCCATTTATTTAGCAGCGATGCGAAGGCGAATGGCAAATGCCAGAAGCTGCCATTTTAGGCTTTGGCATTTGTTTTATAGCGCCTACTCGTCGAGGTCGTGTGTGAGCGCTGTTAACTGGGTTAAATCCCCTTTTAATGAGCCCGCCAGCCACTGGATTGGCCTTTGGCTGATTGCACGCTTCACTGGCTTGCAGATTGCATTTGTCGCACCTTAATTAAACAGCCGCAGATGCCAGGAAAGGTCAGCCATCAACAGCCTCCTCCTGACCTTTAACCTATTTCCCCCTGGGGAAACCCACTTTTTATTTACATGCGTGGTGGTCATAAAAGGTTCGGTTTCCCTTACCGTTCTGCCACACAAAAATGATGATTTCTTCGGGGCATATATATGACTAAGGAGCCCATCTAATTAAGCGTAAATTGGCAGCCACAAAATAGAGTTTCGCGCATACTCCGTGGTGCAATGTAGCGACCATCAAACGCGGACAGAAGCTACCCACATCCATCACCCACCCACCCAAAAGCCAACCATCCACGACCTTGGGACCGCCCCCACATTGTTGCTTTTGTTGTTAGCATGAAATTAGTTTTCGGCTAACGCTAATTAAAATTTACGACACCTGCTTGGCTTACAAAATATTTACGCCTAAACTCCCAAAAGGTCCCGCCAGCTTTTCAGGCGCCAACTGGCTTAAGCTAACATTAAAACTGTTAATCAAAGGATCAAAAAGTTAGGGTCCATAATAATAATGTTTTTAAGTCTGCTGTATTTTTGCAAGTTTATCTTAGTAAGCAATAAAAATAGTCTACGCAAAATATTCATTTAATCACAATTTATACTTTTATTAATTGATAAAAACAAATAGGTATAAGAAAAATCCATATCCAGCGTTCCTTGACCAAGAAAGTATCCATAATTTTAAGAAAAAGATCATTAAAAAATTATATTTATTTTTCTGGCGGCATATAATCCCACATCTGACCATTAAAACTCACCCTGAGTATTCCCCGTACCCATTCTATAAATAATAAAAGGCCCCGCATGTAAGAAATGATCTGAAAATGCACAAAACAAATGTTTAATATTACCTGATGCTGGTTATTAAGTTGTTTTTCCCATTGCCACAATTGGGCCGTTCATTCCGTATGAGTGAGAATAATACATTGAACTTTTTATACTGACTGAGGCTTCGTTTTTATTTAATTTTACATATACTTCTGTTGCTGTCATATGTATATATATAATCTCATAAATTAGTTGGTTTGTGTATATATATATATATAGAGATTTTTGTTGGTAATACATTTTTTCCTTATGCCGCAAACGCATATAATTAAATTTCAATATTAATAATGGTATCGTTTCACTTTTTTTTTTGGGTTTCTATTTGTTTTAATCGGTTTTTGTCGCTTGAACTCGAATCCAGTTTTTGGTTCACCAGTTGGAAATATATATAACTGCAGTGCACCTATATGCACTTTGACTCGTAGGCAAAACTGAAGTGGGTTGAATTTATAACCATACACATGTACACATCTATATATCTGGTAGTTCTTGCCGGGGTCGCTACGTTGGGGGAATCCCCCGGCATCCGCCTCGTTTTCATTTACATTACACATTTATAACCATAATAATTTACAAGTTAAATGGCTTAGAAATTATTAGTAGGACTTCCTGCGTGGGCTACCATATACTCGTACGTACATAATACATAAAACACTTTCTAATTAAAGTTAAAAACATCTCTCCTAACTTTGTCGCCTCATCTGGCCCTCTTTGTTCTGTTCTGTAATGTTCGTCCGGTTTTCCTTTTGGTTTGGTCTATTTACATAGTGACAATTTCTAAATTACTTAGACTTCGTTTTTAGCCATCCTCCTTGTTCTGTATTTACATTGCATATCGATTGAATAAAATGTTTCGCAGACTTTTCTTGACTTTTGGTTTAAGTTAACATAAGAACTTTAAAGGAAAAACCCTCTCCAGGCGGTTAGGTATGTATATATATATATTTTGTTTAACATTTAAGAACTAATTTAGTTAAAATACGTTTTATTTTTAGTTTAAACTTTAAACTGGGCGTTTCCGTTGTGCATTTAAAAATAGTGCAAAAATACATTTTTCAAAAATTTGGTGCATACTTTGAGGCGGTGCTATATAATCACAACATTTACAATTTAAGTGCATTTGCTTGTAGGTGTGGGTGTGTGTGTGTTGTGGGTGTGTGGGTGTGGGGGGGTGTGCGGATGTGCGGGTGTGTGGGTGTTCGGGTGCATGTGTGGAAATGGGGGCGTGGTCGTGGGGGGGCGGGGTGCAAATAGTTTAGACCTAATAAAAACTTTAGAGTCGAACTCCTCGGCCTGCTTGAGTGTTTTGTGGAGATTCCGCTCAAAAGTGTCAATTGAGGACGGATTGCTTTTAAGCCTTGATTGTGTGCATGTTTTTTTTTAGGGAATGCATGTCCTTGTGGGCGTGGAGTGGGCGTGGCCACCGGAAGTCCCATACTCCCCGCGGCCCTCGCATTCATTTCGATTTGCATTAAGGTACTTGTGACTACTTATGTTTATAGCTCGAAAATATTCATTTGATTCCATTAAAACTGGCCATTCCTGATTATGATCGGATCGGGACTTCGCCCTGTGCGTCCAAAGCTAAACGAGGGTGTACTGATGTCTGAAATTCGGGATCTTGGTGCCGTGGAAGACTGATCTGCTTGGCCAACCAACTCGATTCGATTGGTTTCGGCCTGGTTTTCCTCATTGTACGGATTGTATTCTCTATGTGCTGATTCGTGCAAATTACTACAACAACGATGCACATAAAATATAGAATCACTAGTTAATCAGGCTCTAATACGAATTCAGGTGTTTTTTTTTTTGTATGTTCTCATAATCAATTTTTAGGTAAGTGCAATTGTGGTGCATTTAAATACATATCATTTTGGTTTTTACGCGTTTTTTGATTTGGTATAATTATTTATCACATAAAATGTGCAACAGTGCAAACTCGTTAATGCTAATTGTTTGTCATAATTTGTCTCGCTAATTGTTTCGATTGAACATAATTTATTAGAGGTGGCGAGTGTGTGTGTGTGTGTGAGCTTGTGTAAGTTGTTATATAATTTTAATGAATGGCATGAATATTTAATGGGTTCAATTTTGGGTGGAAATTAAGGTATACGCTTGGCTGAAGGTAATTAAAAACGAATTAGTTGCCAAAATAGGTAAAGTATTTGAAAAATAGTAAATAAAGAGATCGATTTGTGTTCAATAAAAAAAGAAACCTAGTTTAAATAAGAGATGTTGCTGACTAAAGCTCAGTAAAAGTATTTCCTGTAACCACCATACTATTTTAAATTTCTTAAATTTTGCTAAAAGACGTAAAGCTCTTCACTCTTTTCCAAACTACCTTGTTCTAGTCAAAATGCCTTTATCAACAATTTATTTTCTGCAATTTGCATACAAAACCTAGCAACACAGTGAAAATGTTTTTTGCGTTTGACTTGGATATCTTTTTAATAGACAGCTCTATAAATTGTTCTTCTTTTTTTTTTGGCTTTTAGTGTTCGGCGATAAATGTTTACCTGTGAGTGGAATAAAAGTGGCATTGAATTGCATCAGTGGCTCTGGTTGTTTTAGCATTGAGTGCGGCTTTTTGTGGCATGGTCATAAAAAGCTGGCCCCAATCAATGGCTACAACACCTGATGCCCATTGAAGGCCACTTTAGGTCCAAGTCTGTTAGCCTGGCTTGAAAATGCTCGTTGATTCGGCGTTGAATGCAGCCTCCAATGCTTCGATAAATTGCCTTTGGCTACTGTTTATAATGTATTCAAACTTTTCAACATTCTTTCTGGTGGAATCTTAGGTCGTACTAAACATGGATCTACATCAAATACATATAGTTTACTGGTTGAATAGTACTTTTTTTTTGGCGATGGCTAACACTTTTGTGCTCAGCAAAAGCAGATACATTACGTAATTTCCTCTTGTGGGTCTACACTTAGTTTAATAAACATTTATATTTTAGACGTGGATATTATTAATTTAAATATATTTTTTTCTTTTCTCATTCGATGACTGCCTATCAGCTGTGTCAAATTCAATTTCAAAATCTCTATACCGAAAATATGCACGTGGCCAAATCCCTAGCCTGGTTTTTCTGCAAACATACATTTACTTTCATTAAAGTTGAGTTTTGTGCTGTGACTTATCTTTGTGCATTCCACTTGTGGAATTGTTAAAATATATAAAACTACTTCCCAGACCTTGTTGAAAAGTTTGTTTGACCGCCAAGTGAAGAGCTCTATGTGGCTAAAGGACTAAAGCACCTAAGGACTCCCCTTGTGACTTACCAAAAGGAATTCAGCCAGGATTCAAGGATCCAAGGCTGCCAGGGATAATCTCAAACTTTGCGGTTTCAGGTGTTCTTCGCCAGGAAAACAAAAGCATTTCGCAAAATGTTATTACTTCTTCTCAGAAAGAGCTGAACTACGAACTCAAAAAGGTAAATATGTGCATTATGTTCTAGAACCAAGAGAAAGTTATAATATGGTATAATATGGTATTTGATTGCCTGCTTTTGTGTTTAACTTACTTGTTGCTGTTGTTGTTGTTAGTGTTGTCTGGTGTAGTTGTTGTTTTTGTGGAGAGAAAATAATATGTTTATATTATATAGTGGTGAAGTATTCTGAAAATCTTGTGAGAGTAACAAAGTGAAAATCAGAAATGCATGTTTGGGTTTCGTTTTCAGTGTATATTAAGTTGTGTATTTGTTTTCATTCATTTTTTCTTTGTTTTTTTGTGTATTTTCTTGTTTTTTTTTCTGCATTATCATATATTCGTATAATGTATAATTAATTATTATAAGTAGTTAAGAAAACTGTTGTTAAATAAAAAGGGGGGAATTATGCTAAAACTATACCTCCTACACAATGGAAATTAGTGTGAGAAAGATAGAGACGGGGATACAGCGAGTTGAAAAGGAAGAAAGGCGAAAATTATTTACAGCAAAAATACTAATTAATTAGAGTTGGGTAAGACGAAATCAACAAAATTCATAGACCATTTTTTCTTTCGATAACTTGTGCGAATGGCATTCGCTGTTTGTCAATGCCATTTGCTACTCATAGTTAATTATATTCTCCATCTTTCTCTTTGATGTTTCTTTTTTTATCTGAGTTTTTTCTTTCTCGTCTGCAAATATACAAATACAAATAAATACAAGTTTAAGGGCCGACTATATATTCTTATATATATGTTTATATTTGTATGTGTGTGTGTGTATGTACCTATGGTTGTTTGTGTATATGTGTATGTATTTTTTAACATTCAACAATTGTTTTTTATTCAGCTTTATTTTCTGTATTTGCTCTTTTTGGATTTTTCCTCTCTAAGTTGCCTCCATTTTCTTTCGTGGTATTCAAAAAATAATCTTTAAACTAAATACTCTACAATTATAAAACATTTAAAAATAGGAAATAAAAAGTTTTTCGCTAATTTAGACGTAATATGTTTATTTACAAATTCTTTTTATACACAATACTGTTTGCTGTGAGGGCGCACAAAACGCAAAGGCCTTATAGGAAAATTAAATACTTTAAATAGGCTGAAAGATAAACAAATAATACGAAAGTATATAGAAAAGTATAGTAAAATAGTTTAAACGATCTTCGTTAGTACTTCGTTTAATCATAATATAAAGTCATTGGGGGTATTCCTTTTTCGCTTTTGTTATTTACAGTCGAACTTATGTCTTTTCATTTTGGTTTGTCCTTATAGAAGTTGTCGTTTTGCTTTTAAAATTTCGTTCTTGTTTTTGTTAGGATTATAGAAAAATAGGCCAAAAATATATGTATCTGTATGTCTGTTTGTGTGTGTTGTTTTCTATACCTTTACCTCAATTGTCGTACGTTCAAAAAATGTGATTAAAACTTTTGTTTGTCTTTGTCTTTGATTTGTTTGTTCGGGTTTTGTCCACCGGTTGTTTGTTTGTTGTAGTTTAGTGCGCATTTGTTTGTTGTTCTTCTTGTTTGGATTCTCGATTTGTGCATAATTTCAAGGATTACAATTAATTGCATATACATACATTATTCGTATTCGTATTCGTAGTCGTATTCGTATTCGTATTCGTTATGGTAGTTATCATTTACTTAGAGTTATACACACGTTGTCTTGCGTTTAGTATTTTCGTATGGTATAGAAGTTGTTATTATTACTTCACTTTCATTTATATTTAAAGGTGGGTTATTTTGCAGTTATTTATGTAAATGTTTTTACTGAATCATTATCAATCAATTAAAAGAAAACACCAAGGCTGTCTCCTATTTATACTTTTCGGTTAATAACGAAGATCGTTGATATAGGAGGGCAGGAGGTTGGGGATCGATGTGAAATAAAAACTTATTCGTAAACGTATTCTCAATTAGATTTTTATATAATTTGTTTGCGATTTTATATACGTACTGTGTATAAGATATGAAATTTTATTGCTCGCAATTTCATATGTTATTCCGTTTTAAGTAACTAAACATATATAGGTTTTTTTTACACAAATCCATTAAATAACATGCATACTTTGGGCCGATTAAAAAATTAACAGCAATAAACGATTGACTAAAGTGCGTAAAGTCAACGGTTGAATGGAAAAAGGGAAAATAAAATGGGAAATTCAGGGGGAAACGCAGGAAATACAATATATGTGAAAATCGCTTTCGAGGGTACACATTATTATTGTTAATTCGCCACTTAGTTTTTCGCGTTTATCCTTCCATTGTTATTTGTTGGCATACACAACCGTTTAAAAATTTTAATTCGTAAATTTCGGCTTAAAAATTTGCTTGATTGTATTTCTTAATTGATTGATTGTGTTTGGGAACTCGGCCCCTTTACAGGCATAATAATAGCGAACAATTATCATTGATCAGAACATTATTGGCGTAAGGTTGAATTTTCAGCGTTTCCAATTGAAAGAATATTGCGCGAATGATACAAAAAACCTACGAAATGAGTGGGAATAAAAACATTCGTGACTTGGTTAAAAAGGTCGAGAATGGAATAGTGTTAGTTAGCATTTGTACAAGCTTTTTGTTTCGCTTATAAGCTTATCGTTTTATGTATATTTATAAGTCCATTGTTATTTAAATATACTTTAATTATGTAAATAAATTTACTTAACTACAGATAGCTGCCGTTTCCGTGAGAACTGTTGTCACCCATGAACGAAATAAAAATCTTTGGTAAAGTTGGGACAGATCTTTACAGGCAAATAAGGCTGATAATCGAAAGTATTATTTACACACATGAAAAAAATAAAAAACCGAGCAAATCATCTGTAATGGCAAACGTAGTTTTAACAATGAGAGAACTGTAAACCAAAATAAATAGGTTTTTTGGGGTTTTGAGGCCTCAACTATCGAACAAAACTGGGGGTTTCAATGAAGTCAAGTCTTTTTCTTTATGTAAATGTTTTGCTTCATCTTCTAAGTTGTAAATGTTTGTTTTTTTGTCGCTAATCTGGCTGTTATTGCATTGTATATAAGTATATTATATTGCACTCGTTAGCTTGTTCAGTTATCAGCAATAAAACCTAATGCAATATTTTCCTTCAATTGTATATTTGTTTGTTATTGGTATATGTATACTATTAATATATATTTAATGTCTGTTTTTTCTGTGTATATGTATATATAATTTCATTCATCCTCTGCTCGCTTGCCTCATCATGTTTTTATCGCTTTCTTCCGCTTGCTTCGTTTTGATTTCATTTCTTTTGGTTTATTTAACATTTAAACTTTAATACACTTATAATTAAATAATGTACACGAAATATATATTTCATATAGTAAGATATATTTATAATATATTTATTTAATATATACTAAAAATAGTTAGGCCCAATTTTGTTTTTCCTCATTATTTAGCTCTGTTCCTGCGAAACAAATTAGAAACGAAAAAAAACGTCTTCGATTTTGTCTTATTTTGGATGGTTTTTTTTCTTTTTTGGTTTTGTTGAATTATAATTTAGCTTTAGTATGTATAACTGCTTTTTGTTCTTGGGCTTTCATTAAGTTAATTTTTTTTAATAATAATAGTGTAATAATAATCATACCTTTTGTTTAAGCATAATTGCTGCCTCATTTTGTTTTTAATCATAGCTTTCGGTTCTCTTACTTGGCAATCCATTCAGCTCATTGCAGGCTGGGTTTTTGTTCTTATTTTTGGGTATTGGTTAGGGGTTTTTTTAGGAGTTTTTTTGGGGAATCTTATCTCATGTCAAAGGACAGGCGGGTGGTTGGCTTGTCTGTGTGTTTGTGTTTTTATCGAGAAATGTTTAAACTTAATGGGGGGTTTCGCTTGACTGGGGACAAGTTATAACTAATTTTTTTGACATTCATGTTTGAAGTTCTAGGAGCTCTAGGTGTTCTAGGTGTATCTTGTGTGTGTGGTAGGGTGTGTGTTTGCTGTCTTATAGAGTGACTCTTTAGATGGTTGGGGCTTAACGCCCTCGCGCCCAGCGTAGTAACGCATCCGCTAACACGTCCAAGTGAGCCTTCGTCTGCAAAAAGGGCAAGAAAAAAAAGACAAACCATTAAAATGTTGACATTAAGTATACGCCTGGGGGGCCCAGCTGAACTTACCGTCTTGTAGAACATGCAGGATCTCCGGTCCTCGTCCTCGCCATCGGGACAGTCGATGAAGCCATCGCACAGCACATGATCGTCTATGCAGCGATACCTGCCCTGCCGGTCGGGAATTGGGCAGGCAAAACGCTCCATGCCATCCATGGCGGTGGGACATTCTGCAAGGAGACAGGGAAAAAACAGAAAAAACACAGGTGAGCTGGTGACAGTCAGTCAAAATGGCTTTCTCTTTGGGAAACAGGTAAGAAGCCCCGAACTTTTCACATAAATCGTTCAGTGCAAAACTTTTGCACACGCTAATGTCTGCCATGATTTGCGTCTAAATGTTGCAACTTGCGAAGCGGCGCATAGAAGTATGCTATGGATATATCTCAAACCACCCAACTTTCAACTCCCAACTGCATTTGTTTGTGTGGCCGCTTAGCAGGTTTTTGCTGCTATAAATAGTTTCACGTTCGCTACTTTACTACTTTCTGCGGCTGATTCCATTCCATTTTCCGGCGAGGGAAAAGCGGGAAATGGCTGAGGAAAATCCTGGCTTGGCTGGCTTCGCCTGCACCGACGCCGCCGCCACCGCCATGGAGCAACACAAAAAAACAAACTGAAATACAAACTTTACTTTTTTTGTGGCATTTCACTTTGTGCTCGCCTTTTCTCCTTTCTCGTTGCCATTTCTTTTTTTTTTCCACCAACAAATACATAAAAATAAATCACTTGTAGGACATGTTGGCGCCTCCGGTTTAGTTTCGCTGCCACATGAGTGCTGGTGTGTGTGTTGGTGTGTGCTGGTTGCATGTTTGTGTACTGTGATCTGCTGTTCAAGTTGCCCGTATAGGTTTTCCCACCACCCACTTTTTCCAACCCTCTCCAATTTCCCCATTTCTTGCGAAACTTTCCTCTGCTATTTTTGGCTGCATCCAAAATTGTTCTGTTCTCCTCTGATTTTTTTGCCACGCGACCAGCTTTGCCACTTAATAATTCTGTATTTTACTTGTGCTATCCTTCAGGATATAAAAATCACTTGGCAAGCCCTGTGGCATTTAATTAGTAGGTGTTTTAAACTCAGCTTTGGCCTGACAATGGTTTCATTAATTTCCCTAACAGCCTCGTTACGGGGAATGAATTATTCATCACAATTTCTGCTTTTCTCACTAGTTCTTATTAAATAAACTTGTTGGCTAACTTAAAAAAATACTTAATTATTTATTTCAAATATATTTTGGCAAATGGTATGCTATTTAATTGATCCATAACCTGGCATTCAAAAATAGTCATACGTTTATGGCCATTAAAACACATTACATATTAAATGGCCAATTGCATTTTATTCCTTAGCCATATGGCAATACAAAAGGCTACTGTAAATTTGGTGATTTTCATTTTCATTATTAGTTTATTGCCCCTAAAACACGCATCACTCCTAAATACAAGTATTAAATTGCCGAAATGCATTTTATTCATTTATTCTATTTAATTTATTCAAATAAACAAATACCTATCCAGAGCGTGTTAAATTGACAATTGCATTTTGTATTCCTTTTTTACAAATGACATACCAAAAGCTTCTGTAAAATTTGGAACTTTTCTATTTCATTTAATAGTTTGTGGACATCAAAACACATTTCAATCGAGAATAGATTAAACTGGCAATTGCATTTTATTTATTAGTCGTGTTTGTTACTCTCTTTCATAAATTAAATTAATGTTTCTATTTACTACTACTACTATTCTCAATTAAGCACATATCAAAACAGAAGGTATTAAATTGGCAAAAGCATTTCATTAGTTGGCCCAATCTTTACGTCTTTTTCATAAAGTTAAATACAAAGGCTATTGTTAAATTGATGTTTTTTCTTTACTGTATAAGTTTATGCTCAAAAAGTTTTAAATTGGCATTTGCACTTCATTTGTTGGCCCAATCTGCTGGTCTTTTTCACAAATTAAACACAAAAAGCAGCTTCATTCTGCCATCCATCAAGGGGTGTTTAATTACGAACTGTGACTCTGCGAGCTGGCTGTAATATAATTTTATTTCTTTTGCTCACGCTCTGTGGAGTCGTGCCAAGTGCAATTCATTCATTAAGTTGATCTGTCTACCCGAAACTTGCACAAGTGCTTCTAGCTGCCCTTCAGCAGCTGTCAGCTGCATTTCAGGTGTGTTTGCAGTGTGTTATTGCAATGGCAAAATCACCTGACAAAGCATAAATGTATGCACCAGTAGTGCCAGAAACCCGACACTCGAATGCATTCCCCCATGGGATTCCGCCGGGGAAGTCCCCCAATCCCATTCCGCCGGATTGTTGTTCGGCTGTCAGCGGGGAATCAATTGATGTCTCTCTCTCTCTGTCTATCTATCTGTCGCCCTGAAAGTTCGCTTCGTTAGGCACCTGGTTCGGGCCCACCTGCCCTTCCAGGATTCGGAATCCAACAGAGTGGCGTGCCAAGAAGCCATTTGCATTTTGAAGAGCGCCCACATCTACTGCGGCACGTTGGTTACGCTTATGATGATGGAGATGATGGCGATGATTCACTTAATGGTGAATGGTGAATGGCGAATGGCGAGCGGTGAATGGTGAATGGTGATGACAATGTCGCACTGCCGGGAGCGCTTCTCACGATTGCCATTTATCAACCTCGTTGGACGCCGCATAATTGCATCAATGGATACTTGGGCACGTTTCAACATTCAAAGGGGTAAGGGGTATACGGGTTATGCAGATTACGCATACGCAACGTGGAACCTACGCGGAACCCTAGAATCCCATTAGTTTTATTACCAGTTGGAAGCAGGAGCTGCTCTACAACCCACATTTTGTACTTTGAACTTAATTTCGCACACAAATAACTTGCAAAACGTTGTTGCAACGTTGTGAAGTTGAGGGAACATTTTTGGGTGGCATTTTTTTTTGGGCCAAATCAGCCAAGTTCCTTCCTCCAAGCAGCACCCACATATACATACATCCATGCACCCACTACTCAGTCGGTTAGCTAGCTACTGAGGCTATTGAACTTTAAATTGATTTTTGCGCTTGTTTGCTAGTTTTGCTCGTCGCCTCTCTGTTCGGGCGGGTGGCTCGAATTGCAGCCAAGCGGTGGGTGGTGGAAAAGAACCCCTTCTTCTGGAAGTGCTTCTGCCTCTGCTTCCATTTCTGCTTCCATTTCTATTTCTGCTTATCGTTGTTGCAATAAATCGAAATAAGTTCTGCCTTGGAGTACAGGGTGAATGGCATACTTTCTGATGGACGGGCCAAATTAGGATGGTCTGGTTTGTACTCGAACTGTTGTATATATATTATTCAACGATAAACAATCAAACATCCTTAACTGTGTCACCTTAAATGTTCGTGCAGAAATAACTTTGAAATAATCGGCATTTTCTGTTGAAGTTATTAGAAGGAAAAGTAGTACATTGCTATGTAATGCCTTAAAATAAATGAAGTTCTTTAAGGAACCCTTATCATAAAGCACTTTAGTTCACTTGTTTCGATTAGCTTTACTTGAGATTTCTTTATCCCATAACCCTGAAAAGAACTTCAATTCCATGCCTTCAAATAAATGAAATTCCTTAGGGATTCCTTAACAAAAAATACCTAAATTTACCTATTTCGATCAACTTTGCTTGAGGTTCCTTTATCCCATAACCCTGAAAACCACTTCAATTCCATGCCTTCAAATAAATGAATTTCTTTAAGGATCTCTTATCATAAAGCACTTTAGTTTGCTTATTTCGATCAACTTTGCTTGAGGTTTCTTTAACCCATAACCCTGAAAACCACTTCAATTCCATCACAAGCCATAAAAACCATAAACAGGTATATGCGCACAGCTTTCTCCGTCTTATCCGACTGCAAAACAACATGGCAAACAGATATAATCACATGTCAACAATATCCACTTGCAGTAACCAATGGAAATGGAAATGGAAATTGTGAAACTCCTTATGACATTCGAGTGCATCTAAGCTATGCAAATCACCACCGTGCGGGGCAACTGTACCCAGAGTTTCCCAGTTGAGCAGCCATCCAAAGTTTAAGAGAATCAACGCATGTTGACACTAAGACACCCGGCAGCAACAACAATAACAACAATAACAGCTAACAAGCCACAAGCAGAACAACAACAACACGTCGGGTGTCAAAAAATCAAAAGCATAAAAAGGATTTGGCTGTTGCCAAGCCAAGGAGCCATATATATATCTACAACCTCTGAGCTTTTTTTGTTGGCCAAAAAGTGCCAACTGATGCTATTTTCGTCGCACGACAGACGTATGTATACGTGGCGTATACGTAATGCAGGAGCATGGAGTTCGTGGCGAAAAATAAGTCGCAAAAATTTGTAACAAAGTTCGCGTAGTGAGAAAACCTTTTGCTCCCACACACACACACACACACACACACTGGCATTGATATGTATATGTATGAGTGGAGATGGTAAGGAGATGAAGAAAAAGGACGAGAGGAGAGAGCTGCAATCGCCTGTTGTCTCGTCAGTGTGGCGCCTAAAAGGCTGCCAACAATAATAACAAAACCCACGAAAAGAGAGCAAGCTGCACACAGATGCACTCTGTGTTTGTGTCCTTTTTGTGTCGCTATGTGTTAGTGTGTGTGTGTGTGTGTATCTGTGTGAGGGCGTCAGTGTGCAGGAAGCGACAGCCAAAGGAAACAGCGCGCAACGATTTTGCAGCAATAAATTGATAGTTTTATGTGCTGCACATAAACAGGAGCAGGCGGCCAAGGAGCAGCAGCAAGTCCTGGGACATTAAACCCGCCTTCTTACACCCACACAAAGGACATCCCCCACCCCCTCTGCATATTTCGGCCGTAAATAGCCAAAGACCATGCATAAAACAAAAAGGGCCGAGCAAATTTATAAATGACAACTGCAAAATTGATGGGCATTTCCCTTTTTTCCAGCCCCTGCTGATTCTATTCCTTCTCGGCAATTTGTCGTGCTGAAACTTTCACTTTTTGGTCTCCCAGTTATTTTGATCCTTCTGTCCAACATTGTCCTTCATCAAAAATGAATTCAACGTTTGTCAAGTCTCAACACGAAAACCTGGACAGCGCCGACAAATTGAGGTGTTTCCCCCGAAGAAAATAAGAAGCCCCTGTCATAATTTGTTCGCCTTTTTCCCTTTTTTTTCGGTAATAAGGTTTTG